ATAGGAAATCCTTGTATCTTTCTTTCAGTTTTGTTGTAAACCTAAAACTTCTCTATAAAAAAAAAAAGAAAAGTCTTTTTTAAAAAGCTGGTTTTTTGAGATAATTAATAGAATCAATAAAACTCTAGCTAGATTGAATGAAGAAAAAAGGGAATACACAAATTACCAATATTAAAATGAAACACGTGATATCACTATAGTTTCTATAGATATATAAAAAGATAAGAGAATATTATAAATATACATAAATAGATTTATTACTCTGGAGGAGTCTTCTCTGAGGAAACTACCTCAAAAGAAAAACAAGAAAACAAGAAAACTTTCTAATAATGAAATAGTTCAGTGACACAGTTCATGCTGAGCCCACAATACTGAAGCCTAATATGCAATAAACTATCTCCTTGGCACAACACACATTCGTACACATGGGTGTGTGCACACGCATTGCTTCCAATCAGCTTTTTACTGTTACTTTCAAATATGAACAGACAGCCAAAGATTGCCTGACATTTGAGAAAAAGCTTCTAACAAATAACTCCCAGAACTTCTGAAGTAATAGGTAAAAGTAAGAAAGACAATGGTTGTACTAAGCTCTCAGCGGGCAACTGACTCTCATTTCCTTCCTATTTACATTCTGGAGGAGGGGTGACTATAAAACAGGACTTGAAAAAAATGTTTCAGAAGCCAAGAGTGCCAGCCAGATACATAGAATTCTTTATACCTAGAGCTAATATGATTCGTATTCTCGTCAAATTGTTTCTTTCTTTATAATCAAACTTTTCTTTATATAAAAAGAGAGGGGGGAAAAAGAGAGTATCATCATCATCATCATCATCATCATTATGATTATTATTAAACTCTTATGGGAGACAGCTCTCAAGATCTTGGGCAGTGGACTATTTTTATTTTTTCAACTATTTATATTTTATCAATCATTCAATCGTTTACCAAGACAGCACATGAAGTGAACTTGCCATGTTGTACAGCCTTCAATCTATTTCCACAGAGACATCTCTATGTTATAGATAATGCCTGCATGACCTCTCCAGCCTATGGCAATGCTTTCTGTGTCTTCCACATTTGTCACTACTCTAGATTAAGCTTTTACCTCTAGGCCCTTGTTAAAATGTGCATCTGTTAACCAGGAGGTTAACAGAAGAGCCCATCTGTTTGTCCAGAAAACAATCTCCTGGCAGCCTGTCAGTGTTCAATGAGAAGGCAGCTGGGTGTTGTGAACAAAGCTGGATTCCAGGCCTATCTTAGCTACTCACTTGTCGGTTTTAAGCCTCAGTTTCCCCAGATTTTTTTCTATCACCAAGAAACTGTACTCACGGAATTGTACTCAACAGAATTGTACTCACTGACCTCTAAGATTCTGTCTTATCTTAAAATTCAGTGATTCTGTATTCTAAACATAATGTATACTCTGATGCCTCAGTCACCAAGAACAAGGTTTGATTATTTAAAAATATATATATAAATTATATTTTAAATGTCCATTCAACAATATCCACATATGTGATTTCAAAATAATGCAAATAATTCTGGCAGGTTAAATTTAGAATAGTTCTATTAAAACCAATTCAACAAAACTCTCTGGCACTATTCCCAGAACATTTTTATTTGATTGGGAATTGTTTAAATTTTAATCCATTTTAAGCTCTCTCTTGCCCAATTGTGTTTCTCTTAGAATGTCGCATTTGAAATATTGACTGTAATTGCACTGACTCTCTTATTAAATCATGTATCTCAGCAGTGTTACTGCTACCCATTTGGATATTTTTCCAGCCACACGTAGAATGTGCAGTGGGGTGGAGAGAATGCATTTTTACAGTGTGGGTGTATTTCTGTGGATTCCCTTTCCCTTCCAAGAGTGCCTGCCAAAGGCCCATTTTTTTCCCATATTAGTATTAATACTACCTAACACTATGTTCTTACTTCTCTTATCTTTCCCTTTTCCTTCTAAAACATTTAAGAAAATAGCAAAGCTATTTCTATCTTCCTAAACATTTCTTCCAGCACAAACTCTAGAAAAGGAAACAAAAAAACAAATCAAATTGTGCAGACCCCATAAATCAAACAAGCTCATTTTCTGTAAACTCATAATTGCACAGCTTTCCCTTCCCTGAGCAGTGCTTATATGCTACTCCCAAATTTTATTAAGGCCAGATCTCAATCTTCATTGGCCTTGGGAAGAGAAAATGAAAATGGTGGCAGCAGAGTCTGGTAGAAGGGCTTCAGATAAGGCCCCCAGTGGATGGCCAAGCCCTATCTTGTGCACAGATCCCTTTACATGTGGTTTTTATTACTCTATACAATAACCAACTCACACTTTTTCTTAATGACTGTTTTTCTCCACTCATTCCTTTACTCTTCCAACCACTGATGGAGATTGAGATTTACCCTTTTATAATAAGAACTACCATACTTTAAGCAACAAGTATTTATGTACCAGTCACTGGGTTACCCATTTCATATAAGTCCTCACACAATCTTACAAGTCAGGCATTATCTTAGTTGTTTTAAAACAAGGGAAATTGAGACTTGGGAAGGTTAAATAACTTGTCTAATGGCCACAGACAATAAGGATCTGAGCCTAAATGTGTACCCAAGTCTGTCTCACTGTTTAAAATAGACATTTGTTTAAATAGAGTAATAACCAGAAATTAGTATTGGATAAGTGCAAAAGTGGTAAATCTTATGCTGTGGTTTGATCAAAACTATACTATCCATATATGTGTAGGAAAGACTCAATCAATGACTTCCATGATCTTCTTATTCAGTGATTGGAAATGGCATTTGGTAGCAGTAAAGAAAGCTTTCAGCCATAAGTAACAGCCTAACTTTTATGGGCCTAAATATATTTTTCTCACACACACAAAAATATCTAGAGTAGTGTTGTCCAACAGAAATATAATATGAACAAAAAACTCAGGTCACATATGTAATTGTAAAGTTTATAATTAGCCACATTAAAAAAAGTAGAAGAAAATAGGTAAAGTTAATTTTAAAATATTTTATTTAGCCCAATATATCCAACATATTATCACTTCAACATGCAACCCATATTACAAATATTATAACATAACTTTTTTTATACTAAGTCTTTGAAATTTGGTGTGCATATGATATTAACAGTATATCTGAATTTAAACTTGTCACATTTCAAGTGCTCTTTAGCCAGATGTGGCTAGCGACTAGCATATTGGACCACACAGCTAAGGGAAGTGGCTACTGGGGTTAGATTTCTAGTTCAGAGGACTTTTACCTCATATTTAACACCTCAGGTTCACAAAATGGTTACCAAAGTATCACGCATTATATCAGTGTCATAAGCAAAAACAGAGACAAGGCATCACCAATAAAATCCTTCCCAGAATACCTCTACTGTGTCCCTAAGTGATCATTTATCACAAGAGGGACTGAGGAAGTGAGAAATTAGATTTTTCTAATTTCCATGGAAAAACATGAAGAATGGGGTTAGAAATAGAAATGTATTTGCAAACCGGCTAAGTCAAGCACAGGCACAGATTAAAAAAAAAAAAAAAAGAACATATTTTAAACCAATAAAAATTCCAGGAGTCACAGAAACACGTTCTGCTCCATTTTGTAATATTTATATAACATTTAACTAAATAATAAATAGTTTTTTCTTTTAGAATAACACCTACTTAGCTCACTTATGTCATTTGCAGCTAACATATTTGAAAGGAAAGAGCAGTGGAGCATCTGGAAAGAAAAATGGTTCTCGGAAGACAAGGGTATCAACCTCATTTTTCCCATAGATCTTTCCATGGTGAGTCCTCTATGAATATATGAGTGCACATACAGAACACCAAATATAACACTATTTGTTCAATTCCTACCGAGCTAATGTCATTTTTCACTTTAATACATCACAATGTAAATATGCTTCTCTTAACAGTTTGTAATTATTCCTAGTCATCTCTTGCCAAAAGTAAATTATAGCAATAAATAGATCTAAACTAATACAATCTTATTGTCAACAAAATTCTGAAATTACCTTAATGGAAAGAAAAAAGATCTTTAGCTTCAGAAAAATGAATAATATTAGTTTTGACATAATAAACATTGAAATTTGGTTAACAAGAACTGAAAGTAAATTATGTAACAATCTATACTGTAGATAGTTTTAATTCATCTATATAATTGTACAGCTACTAAATGTTATGAGAAACTTAAGTATACATTCTAAGGTATTTTTGCATGTTCTCTCCACAAAAATTCTGAAAATACTTTCAATTGTCTTAAACCATGATATGACATGGCATATTTTATTTAATAGTAGAAAACTAAACTATAATAAAGTCATTTTGTATCATGTAAATTAAAGCTGTTTATTCAGGCAATTTGTTTATTCAGTTTTAAATATGTATGCATACATGTATATGCAAACTTCATATAACTAATGGTCTAATTATTCAAACAATCCACTAGGTCATATAATGGGACTGTGTGAAACAAAGTTGCCATGAACTAGAATATAGGCCACATTGCATGAATTTACAATTATAAGGATGAAATTCCTCAGACGAAAACATGAATGAAATTAAACCATCAGAGAAATTAGGTCAATAGCATAGTCTTTAACTATAATCTCCTGAGATTTGCATTTTGAAAAGAAGTAGAAATTTTTGGATTCTGCTGAGAAAGGTAATCCCATTATAACTTCACTATGCTGTAACAAGTGAGATGAACTTTGTACCACATTATAGGAAGGACCTAACCACCACTAAGCCCCAGTTTCAAGAGGTTTTGTGATTGTTGCTTAATACATTGAAAACCAAATACAAGAACAGTTTGTGCAACCTAATATTACCACTAATGCCATTAATAGCACTTGAAATCTTCTTTTCTTTTTAAATGCTTGATGGCATGTCAGATGGTTGCACAGCTCTTGAACACATGTGGATGCCTTACTTCTATATTCTATGACACACATTCTATGTGCACACCATAAATCAGTCAGTGACTCCTTAGGGACATAATCTCAGTGCATGAATTACCAATGGATCATACTTCCCTGTCATTATGGTATTGAGTAAATACACACTCAGAGCTGTTAACACTGCTCTGGGCTTTGGCACCCACCACCATATGGGGCTGCTGAGGACCAGCTACACTAATACTGTGTATGGATCTGCTACATGGCCATTGTGATACATTCCTTGGAGACCTTAAAATGATGCTGTGTCACTTAAAAATGATGTCAGAACAGTGTTCTATTTGAGAATACTGTCAAATTGATGATTACTTCAAAATTTAAGATATAAAAAAGGATAATTCTTTTGTTCTAATTAATTAAAATTAAAAAGCACAAGGGAACTAATTTATATTCAAGTAATAACCATGATTTTACCTCCATCACCTCTCCTTGACTTATACACACATAAGCAAAAGACCTTTCGTGTTGTAGTCTTTGATGAAAGCTTGGAGAGGGGGAGAAGTTATACCTCAGAGCATCAGATTTAAAATTAAATGTTAAATCCTTATTCCTAGGGCTTTTTATGTGACTCCTTATTCCTCCTCTCTACTGTTTACTCTCTACCCTTCCCTATCTGCTCTTCTCTTTCTGAAGAAAAAAATAATAATAATCTGTCTATGACCATGCTACCCTGAACAAGCTTGATCCTGTCTGATCTTGAAAGCTAAGCAGGATCGGGCTTGGTTAGTACTTGGATGAGAGACCACCTAGGAAGGCCAGATGCTGTAGGTGTAAAAAATTAAAAAATAAGGGATTGTAAACTGACAAGTTCCTTGCAATCTGTGAGGCCAACCAAGGGTTGCCTCACCTAAAAAAAAAAAAAAGAAAAAAAAATTCTATCTTCTTACAGAGTAATTCAGCTATCACATGTACCCAAATCCAGCAAAGCAATACTTTTTGCATATCCACAAACATATTGACCAGCTGTACTTACTCTTTCACTTTCTATGAATATTTGCTGAAATAAAGGAAAATTATAGTGATTTCATATCTTCACTAATACGACAGGTTTATTGTTTTAATGGATTTTTCTACTACAAATGGATCGAATGTTTAAACAACCTAAATTCAAATTGTTTGTAGTTTATAGTTGTGTTCATGAAAAGCATATATTGATCTTAACTATAATTCAATAAGTGTGTTACTTAGAAATGAATCTAAACAAGCATGAAAAATAAATAATTTACAATGAATATAATCAGGGATATTTTAAAAATCAAAGTTAGGAAAATATGACCAATTTTTATATATCAATCTTCAACAAACAATTCTCTCAGTTCTTTTACTATAAATGAGATGTCAAATTAAAATACTTGGTAATATATAAGGATGAAGATCTACAGAAACTTCAAAATCTAAACTATGTAAGACTCTTTATAGTCTACACTGAGTTTATTATATAGAAGTAGATAATTTTATAATTAGCCTTATAAGCCCAAAACCTTGACAGAATGTAAAAACCTTTAGCCAGATAAATGTTTCAACATTTATCCTTATTTATTTCTAGCTTTTGTCTGTAAATGCCTTGTGCTTTTTGATCCAAGACATGTCCACAGGTTTCATATTGCTTTATGAGAGAAATAAAAATAAATCACCTAATAGAATTTCACTTTCTCTGATTCTTAAAATACTGAGAACTAAGTTAATCACTTCAGAAATAAGTTATTTCGGGGTAGGTATTACTTAAGGCATCCAATTGTGAATCAGTCACTTTTCCATAAAGGCAAAGAAGGTATAAAAAATATTATTTTATTTAAAATACTCATATATTGTTGAACACAAGGAATTATCTTGGGATTTAGGAAATTATAGGGTCATTATCAACTAAATACTTCAACCAGAGTTTAAAGAGCTACCTAAAATGGCTATTATTCCAGTAGTCTACTAATAATATCGACATCTTTTCAGACTTTTAGAAATACCAAGTCACTCAATTGTATCTAACTATAATGGGCACTACATATTTTAAAGGCCTAATTAGCAACCCATAAGAACAATTATGCATATATGAGAATTTAACAACTATATGAATTAAATCTTTCATATTTCCTTACACTAGTATCTATCTACATGTAAAACCTGAAAGATTTTTATATTTAATTTTGTGACTTAAAACAAGGTAAGCTAAAATGCCTCTACCAACTAATGAAATTGAAACAATCTCAAGTATTAAAAAAGACATCGAGTATAATTTCATAAATAATAAAGTAAATGTATATTCTTTATTCATAACCAAGTTTTAGTTAATAAATTTAGCACTTACTCTGTTATAGACAAACATGCATAATTTTATTTAATTTTTGAAATAATTCTGTATATTAATTACCCTATCTCCATGAGGTTACTTTTCCTCAGAAAGTTCAGGCAAACTTCTTACATGCAAGTCACAGTGTCAAGAGAAAGATTCCAATGTTATTGTTCTTAGTCACCCTTCTAGAATCCCTTAAATAAGATTTGGAGAAATAGAGGCTTAAATTAGCTGTTCTAAAGGCACCACTTTTTAAATATATATGTGTAACAACCAGCAGTTCAAGTTCCCAGTAGTTATGTCACCAAAAGAAATGTGTGGTACAATTTATGAACTAATAAACCAGATCTATCACATAGCCTCAATCTATAACATATGTTTTTAAGCTCCAGCATTTTCTGAATTTTGTGTTGTGATCAAATTCAGAGAAACCTTCCCATTTTCAGGCAATGTACTTCCTGAACTTTGAGAAATATCTAATACAAGAGACACCTAGTCATCTGATTATTGTCTTGGTAGCACAACATGTGGTCACAATTTAAGTAAAATTATGAGGTAAAATACCCCAAGATTATTTTATTTTTTTTATTAAAATGCAGCATTGAAATAAAAACCATCTCAATTTCCTCACCTGTAAAAAGGTTATAGGGCAGTTTTCATCAGATTGTTGTAAAGATTAAGTGTAAAGAGTTAGAATGGTGCTGGATATATAAGTGGTACTCAATAAATGTGTGTTGTTCCATGTCAATGTTAATTATAAGGAAGAGAAGGATTCATAAAATACATGGAAAAGAGCTGAAGGATATAAACTTATAAAAGAAAGAAAGTATATTTCAACAGAGAAATAACCTACTTAATTTCTTATATAGCAATAACCAAGTGCTTTACAGGACCTAGAAATGGGTAATATTTCCAAAGAAGTAAAACTGGTTCATATTGTCATTGAAATACATCCAAAAATGTCACTTCGAACTCGTGGTTTAAAGTACAACTCACATTTTCTCCCCGAAAGATCTCCCACTCACTCCCTTTGCTCAAAACCCATGGTATCTATGGCATTGCCTGTGTTATAAACACTTATAGAGGATTGAATAATGTCCCTCCAAAATTCATGTCCACCTCACAGAGTGACTTTATTGGAAGAAAAATCTTCACAGAAGTAATGCATTAAAATGAGGCCATACTGGACTAGCATGGGCCCTAAATCCAACAACTGGTGTTCCTGTGGAAAGAGGAGAGGACACACAGAGGCACAGGAAAGAAGGTTCTATGAAGACAGAGGAAGAGGTTGAAGTGATGCAATTACAAACCAAGGAAGCCCAAGGATTTCCAGGAGCCACCAGAAACTAGGCAGAAGCAAGGAAGGATTCTTCCCTGGAGGCTTCAGAGAGAGCATGGCCCTGCCTACACCTTGATTTCAGGCATCTAGTCTTCTCAACTGTGACAAAATAAATTTCTGTTGTTTTAAGCCACCAAATTTTTCGTATTTTGTTATGGCAGCCTTAGGAAATTAATACACCACCTCTGTATATGCACTCCCATAGGTACCCTGCCTAAGCATTCTCTTCCATCCTAGTGCATTCATCCAACTCCTCTCTAAAGCTCAGTGCAGACCTCATTGACTCCTGATCTCATTAATCAACTCTCACCTCAACAGCTAAAGCCTGTAAATCCATCCTTATAATTTAGCAACAAGCTGTCTGCTCTTTAAGGATAGAGCCGTGTCTTACAATTGTTTAGCCCCGTAATGTCCATGGCTTAGTCAATGCTCAACAAAAGTGTCTAAGTGACTAAGTCCAGGGTACAGGCTCTGAATAAGATTAAGAGCACAACCTCTGGAATCAGACAACTAGGGTTCAGACTTTGGCTTTGTCAATTACAAATCTATACTGTTGAACGACTTCTCATATATCTTCTCTGTGCCTAACTTTATGTGTAAAATAGAGATAATAGCAGTATTTATGTTTTAAGATTGTTCTGAGAGATTGAGTTAACAGTTATAAAGCACTTGAAACAGTTCCTAGCACATAGTAAGTACTTGAAGCTATATTTTTTATTATAATTTTTACAATATCCAGAGAAAATGCATATTAAAATGCATCTGTTTAAGGCTGGGCATGAACAGATGGCTGGAAAGGAGCCATAAATAAATAAAGTAAGCATAAAAAATGAGTCAAGTGTTTTGTTCTCCAAAACTCCCAATTATTTCCTATAATGATCAGAAAAGGCATTGCTTTTGGAGGAATTGACTAAATATTTTTTTTTCTAGGAGTATGATGGTTATTTATAGGTGCCAACTTAACTAGGCTAAGGGATGCTCAGATAGCTGGTTAAACATTGTTTCTGGGTGTGTCTGTGAGGGTGTTTCCAGAAACGATTAGCATTTGAATTCTTTTTTTTAAATTAAGTTTATTGGGGTAACATTAGTTAATACAATTATATAATTTCCAGGTGTACATTATAATTTGACATCTGTATTTTCTATTGTGTGTTTATCACCCAAAATTCAGTTTCCTTCAGCTACCATATATTTGATCCCCTTTATCCACTTCACCCTCCCTGTAAACCCTATATTTTTACCTCCTTTGCCCCATCTATCTCCCTCTTCCTCCCCTACCCCACAAGTAACCACTAGGCTATAGTCCTCTGGTAACCACTAGCCTATGGTCCATGTCCATGAGTCTCTGTCCTGTTCGTTTGTTGCTTTTAGGTTTATATCTCACATATAAGTGATAACATGTGATTTTCAACCTTTTCTGTCTGGCTTATTTCACTTAACATGATTATCTCGAGGTCCATCCATGATGTCGCGAATGGCAGTATTTCATCTCTTCTTATGGCTGAGTAGTATTCCATTGTATATATGTACCACAGCTTCTTTAGCCAGTCATCTATCATAGGACACTTTGGTTGCTTCCATGTCCTGGCCACCGTGAATAATGCTGCTATGAACATCAATGTGCAGATATCTTTTCTGACATAGGCTTTCAACTCTTTGGGTTAAATACTCAATAGAGGAATTTCTGGATCATATGGTAGATCAATTCTTACTTTTTAGGAAACTTCATACTGTTTTCCATAGTGGCTGTACCAATTTGCAGTCCCACCAGCAGTGTATGAGGGTTCCTTTTTCTCCACATCCTCTCCAACATTTGTTATTACTTGTCCTGTTGATCATAGCTATTCTAATAGATGTGAGATGGTATCTCATTGTGGTTTTGATTTGCATTTCCCTAATAGTTTAAACTGAGCAAAGATCACCCTCACCGAAGCAGGTAAGCTTCATTCAGTGCTTGAGCATCTGAATAGAAAAAAAGGGGAGAAAATGGTGAATTTGCTCTTTGTGCTTGAGCTAGAACATCTATCTTCTTAGTTATCAGCACTCCTGGTTCTTGGGCCTTCAAATTGGAACCAGGATTTATATCATTGTCCCACCTGCCCCCAGGTTCTCTGGCTTTTCAACTTGGACTGAATTATACCACGGGCTTCTCTGGTTTCCCAGCCTGCAGACAGCAGATCATGGAATCTCTTGGCTTCCATAATGCATGAACCAATTCCTACAATAAGCCAGATAGATGATAGAAGAGAGAGAGATAGAGGGAGGAGGAGGAGGAGGAGGAGAAGGGGGGGAGAGAGAGAGAGAGAGTGAGAGAGAGAGAGAGAGAGAGATGGAGATTCTATTGGTCTGTATCTCTGGAGAACCCTGATTAATACAAGGAGTAACCCTACCCTTCTCAGAAGATATTAACCAAAATTCCAAGTACCCTAATATGGCTTGTTAATCTCAAGGCGGTCTCCACTCAGGAATTTTATTTCTCGATAATATCTTCTTTTCCCCAGGCAAATCCTAGTCCTTGTTTTAAACTTAAACTCCCACCTGTGGCAAACCCACTCTAATCCTTTCTTCCTGTGAAAACCTCTGATATACCATAACACATAACTCAGCACATAGTCAAGTACTGATGATCTATAATTTTTCATGTTCGTAAATTATCTTCCCACTAGACTGTAAATTTAAAGGCAAATTAGTTCTTTACAATTTAGCAAAAGATTGGATCCAGAGTTCATTCTCTTGGTTATTTTTATGTGTTTAAGTCTATGTTTCTTATATAATTATAAGCCTTTTAATACAGTCAGACTGTCCTAGATACTATAATACCCCTCCTAAACCATTTAAGTAAACTTTACTTTTAAAAAAAATCAAGAGGGATAATTTTCTACTGTATTTGGCCCAAATAAAAATTTTGTTTTATAATATATACAGAGTGATATTTTGCTGTTTGATAGTTATGGTTACAGAAAAGTAATGAGAAAGGGAAAGTTGTGAGGAAAGCCCAAAAGAAAAGTTTCAGAGAAATAAAATCATTTAGACTTAGGAAAGGAAGTCAGATAGATTAAATAAATGAGGTTAATCTTGTAGTTGATGAAAACTTGAGCTTAATTTTCTGCAGAAAAGAGCCAGGTAAGATAAAAGAAAAAATTATAAAGGTGTAAATTTATAAAACATAAAACCAAGAGAAAAGAAACAGAAATTCCCCTCTTTTAAAACTAGTGAAGAGAATGGTCTCCTGAACAAGATAGTTTACCATTCTGCTGAAAGCCTAAGGATGGGTAAGATGGTCTAGTCTGTAAATCCTGAAATCCGCTTGAAAGAAGCATATATTAAACATGTTTGGGTAAAAAAAAAAAAAAAAAAGCTATCATCTGTAATTTTATTCCTGCAACTTTTCCTCAGAGAGTGATGATAACAATCAATTCTTTAACCTTATTAATTATAGCTTAATTACACATCATGGGGTAAAGTACACTGAGAAAGCAGCTGTAGTGGTTGGAATTCAGGTAAAAAAGCAATAAAGACATTATAAAGAAAAACGATACTTGTCATACCAAATAAATAAGCTATTAGAAAAGACAATCACACAAGTAGGGAAAATATTAATCTATACTTGTCTAATTTGATAATTTAATTAATTAACAAACTTAAAGCAAGACTCAAAATATCTCAAAACCTGTCAACTAAATTTTGAAGTAGAATAAAGCTTTTCTTCACTAGAATGCAAACTTTTTAACAACAAAGATATTGTCATGTTACCTGTTCTATCCTCATCCCCTAGTGTTGAGCCCTAGGAACTTTTCTTGTCATCAAAGATAATTCAGTTTTATGGCACCATATCCAATCTGAATCCAGAGTGGAAACACGAAAGCTTCAACGAAGTGAAAAGAGATCACAGGAGCAACACTCTTAAATAAAGTTCAGCCTTTTGTTCATTGGACAACCCTTGAATTTATGTTGATGAAGGAAAGAACAGCATTCATTCATTCATTCATTTTTTTTTCACTTATAAGTATTTATTGTGAACTCGTTACATACCAAACACAACACTAAGCACTGGGGATAAAACAGTGCATAAGTGGAATGGCTGGCCTTAGGTACAAGAATCCCTATTAACAAGACAGGTGGCAGAGTTTATGGGTACAGATGCACATAGGCTGGTTGATTGTGTGGTGTAAAGATGAGGAATATCTCTTCAACTTGCTTCTATAATCTCAGCGAAATAAGAAACAAAATCATCAGCTAAGAGAACAAGACAGGAGGAAGTAATGGAGGTTTGAAGAGAAAGAAGAAAGTGTGAAATAGCCATCTCAGAGAGTAGGAGAGTCATTGACTAGGAAATGAAGTCCAACAGTGACAAGGCCCCACATGACCATGAATTAATGAAAAATCACTCAGCATGGTTAAGTAATTTCCTCCAGCCATATTCAGTTGTTCGGGGTCAGGCGCAGAGAGCCAGAGAGTTATATTTAACCAGAATTTTGATTTTACTAAACAAGTACCAAGATGGAGAGAGGAGTAAACAGTCTGTGTAACAAAAGATCCTTAACAAAATGTAAAGGAATAGCTCTGACATCATGTATAAATTCACTCAAAAATAAAATTTTATTAAATCAATGTATTTTTATTTATATTTACTTATTGGATTATATTAATTAGCATTATATATAGTTGGCATTTGATACTTTCTAGCATATAAGGGAACTTTGTCTATTAAAACAAAAAGTTTGAGGAAGAAGACAAGTATAAAAAGAAATAAAACTCTACTTGAAAATCAAATAGGAATTTTGGGACAAGGAAAAGAGCAGGGTAAAACTGCAGGAGAAGGTTGGAGAAACTACTGTTTTGTAGGG